AGAAGTTTGATTAGATGCACAGATGGATGTAAAAGGTTTCTTCCCTTCTACTTAGCTTAAATGTGTCAGTCACATCTATTTTATAATATTACTGGTATTACTGCATTCTTCTCTAACATTAGCAAATGATTATTCTGGTAATATACTACCAGCCAAAAGGTTTTTAAGGCCTGTTTAAGGCTTCCTGCATCATTCTTTCCTCCGTCACACACATCAATTGTAATCTGTTCAGTAGGTCTCATGATTGTTATGGAGAAACACAGCTAAGTTGAGTAACGTTTAGCCCCTGAAGAGAAAAATCACATTTGCATAGAAAATCAGTGAAGTGAAAAGGGAAAAACAGCAGAATGTGTGAGTCAGCTTCAGCTTGATTGTATCACATGACAGGTTTTGGTTTGGGGGATTTAAGAAGGTGGGATTGTAATGTGTGACAGTGTGCTATAATGTGCTCTATAAAGTGTTCCCCTTTCTCTCAGTGTCTCAGCAGACTAGCTAACATGCAGTGTGGGTGGAAGGAAGGAGACGGACTAAGTTATGATTAGACTGAGCCCTAGTGGCAGATGCATGTTTTTTCCTATAATAAAAAACATACTGTTCCAGAGAACACTATGATATCAGTGCACTCCAGCATTTCATGTGAAACTAGCCTCTTTCCTCTTTAGCTGAGTCTCAAACCATGAAGGAGATGGGGAAATATCATCCATTAAGTCCTAGTTTTAAAACATTCAATTCAGTCCTATTTCAATTACATTTCATTATATAATGCCAGTTCATAACAACACAACAGTAACCTAGGTGACTTTATATTGTAAGATCTCTATTTTAGCAGGACGGCAGCTCCAGAGAAAGCAGAATCAGGATCAGGGAGGGGCAGTAATCTGCTACAACTGGTTAGGAGTAAGGGAAAAGAGGAGAGAGCAGAGAGAGATGGGACAAAAGGCAAACTATAGGAGGAAGGGCCAGTTTATTAATTGCTCCACTACTATATTTAGACAGAGAGTGAAAAGAGGTAAGTGAAGAAGAAATGCTCTGCATTGTGAGAAGCCTAAGCCTATTGAGGCATAACTAGTGCATGGTTCAGGATCACTAGTTATCACTAGTTATATATACAAGGGAATCAAGCATCTCTGATTTGTTGCCTTCTTTCTATCTAAAACCGCACATGTTCTCACAGGCCCCATCTTATCTTAATTAAACACCTCATTCTACCACATCACCCAAATTCAGTCATTTGCTCTCAGACTGCTGGCTTACTTGTAGTTCTTAGTAGTTCTTAGGGTTCTTAGGGAGACTGAGCCTTGAGTTTTGAGGCCCTTCTTCTGTGCAACCAGCTCCCAGTTTAAATTTGGGAAATAGACACCCTGTCTACTTTCAACATTAGGCTTGAAAGTAGGCAGGGTGCCCTAACTATAAGCTCTATGTGCTTTATCCTTTTTTGATAAAGCACATAGTTAAGGTTAAGTTCCTTAACTCACTATGTGTTTATACACCAGTCTGCATTT